ACGTGTATACTAGAGGAATGGGTGGAGACATGGTCAAGGAAATGGATGAGAAGGACAGTAGGAGGAATATTTGATTTTGGTGGGTCGGGGAAAACAGAAGAGCAAATATGGGGGTGAGGTATAAGCCATGGAGGGACGGAATGGACAGAGAACGGGAGAGGTTGGAGATGGGGGAAAGGGGAATGGGAGAGGAGGGTATCCATGCGAGTGGAGAAAGGAGTAGGTAAGCGTGGAGATGAAGCTAAGGTAGGAAGTAGGGATAGTGGGATAGTTAGTTTAGTGAGGGGAAGTTGGTGGAAACGAACATAACATCGGAGTGAGAGCAGGGCACGACGTCGAGATAGAGATGGTATGCCTGATTCAGTAAGGCGCCTAGTGCTAAGCGAAGACCACAGTGATGGATTGTGTCAAGATGGGCAAGGAGAGAAGTTGAGGCAGAGGAGTAGATATGGCATCCATAATCAAGAGTGGAGAGGATCAAAGTAACATGAAGATGAAGGAGAGTTTTGCGATCTGAGCCCCATGATATATGGGATAGAGTTTTTAAAATTCGAAGGCGGCGGAGAGCTTTTTCTTTAATGTGTAGAATATGGTCTCGCCAGGTCAGTTTGGAGTCAAAAATGACGCCTAGGAATTTGCCAGAGGAACGGCATTGGAGTGGAGTGCCATATAGGAAGAGTGGGGGTAGGGGATTTACACGTGAGCGAGAGAAAAGGATGGAGAAAGATTTAGAGATAGAAAAGCGGAAGCCATGGTTTGTGGCCCAGGAAGATACTGATGAGATTGCAGATTGAAGAAATTGGTAGAGATTTGGTATGGATGTGCCAGATGCATAGATGGTTAAATCATCAACATATAGTGATGACCGGGCTCCTGGTGGTAAAACTGAGACAATATCATTAACATCTAGAAGGAATAAAGTGGTACTGAGCACACTGCCTTGTGGGACACCTTCGATTTGAGGAAAGAAAGATGATGTGGCAGAAGCAATTTTGACCTGAAAAGTGCGTTGGGAGAGGAAAGACTTTATGAAGACACCCATGTTTCCACGTATGCCTAGAGAGGACAATTGTTGGAGAATATGGTACCGCCATGTCGTATCATATGCTTTTTCTAGATCAAAAAATATAGCTAGTACGGATTCATGGCGTGCAAATGCGGATGTAATATATGTCTCAAAATGAGCAAGGGGGTCAGCTGTGCTTCTGGCACGGCGAAAACCGAATTGGGAAGGAGAGAGAAGATTGTGAGATTCAAGATACCACATTAAGCGGAAGTTCACCATTCGCTCTAATAGTTTGCACAAGCAGCTAGTTAGTGCGATGGGGCGATAGTCTTGAGGGAGGGTACCCGATTTATTGGGTTTCAGGAAGGGAAGGATAAGAGCTTCTCGCCAATTAGAAGGAAAATTTCCTGATGTCCATATGTGGTTGTAAATTTTTAATAGGAAGGATAAGGAGGAAGATGGGAGTTGCCGGAGCATACGGTAGTGAATACCGTCAGGGCCTTCATGAGTGTTGCGGCACGATTGTAGGGCAGTAATGAGTTCAGAGGAAGAAAATGGGGCATTATAGGACTCAGCGGAGGATGGGGTGAAGGTAATGGGGGTACGTTCTCTGGTGGTCTTGATAGAAGAGAAGTGTGGAGAAAGGTGAGAGCCACTACTGACCTGGCTGAAATAATCACCCAGTTCATTAGCGACTTGGAGAGGATCAGAAATGAGGGTATCTCGAATATGGAGGACGGCGGCAGGATGGGGGGGATGTTTGCCTGATAGTTTATGGATTCGTCGCCATACATTTGAGATAGATGTAGAGGATGTAATTGATGAAACATAATTTCGCCAGCTATTTGTTTTACTATTCCGGATTGTACGACGAAGACAGGCAGATGCTCTTTTAAAGGAGATAAGGGCTGATAGTTGATTTGGAGTACCTCTCTTGTAGCGGTAACTGTTCCAGGCTGCACGTGCAATCAGAATTCCACCATGGAACACATTTAGAGGTATATGGTCTTGAGGTTCGAGGGATAGCTGTATGTGCAGCTCTTAAGACTGTAGTTGTGAAACATTGTATCATTTCTGAAATGGAGGTGAGGGAGGATGGAGGGGAATGAATAGCAGAGAGCGAAGTGAAAGTATGCCAGTCGGCTCTATCAAAGCACCAGCGTGGGGAGTTAGGAAGTGGTACGTATGAAGTAGGAGAAAGGAGAACTGGAAAGTGGTCACTATAGGGAAAGTGGTCTAAGACTGACCAGTGGAAATCTATATGAAGAGAAGGGGAGCATAGAGAGAGGTCAATGCATGAAAAAGATTGCGTGCGTGTATCAAAGTGTGTGGGGCGATCTGAATTTAGAATAGTAAGGTCAGCTGTGGAGAGGAAGCGCTCTAGAGATCGGCCTCGGGAGTTGGTAATAGAATCACCCCAAAGAGTGCGGCGGCAGTTAAAGTCGCCTACTATGAGGAAAGGTGGTTGAAGTTGGGAAATTAGATTTTCAAAAGCAACAAAGTTAATGGGGTGGGAAGGGGAGAAGTAGACTGAAATCACTGTGATCCAACGATGAAGGAAGATACGAATAACTGTACAAGGGACATTGGTTTGAAAGGGTGGTGTGACATAAGGTGTTTTCTGATTGATAAGTATAGACGAGACATAAAGGGAATGTGGGGAAGAGACAAAATGATAATTGGGGATTGGTATTGGAGGATGTGTAAGAAAGGTTTCTTGAAGGCATACAATAGATGGGTTATAAGAGGAAAGGATATGACGAAGGTCAGGTCTGTGGGAGCGGAAACCGCGAATATTCCAATGAAGGATAGTTATACTTTCGTTGATTTAGTGATATAGATTGCAGTACGTGCTGGAGACTTTGAGGGGGAATCAGCTAGAGGGTGGGATAAGGACTGAGAGGTTTGAGATGGGAGAGATGTGGGAGTTGGTGTTCTATCAGGAGGGGTATTAGGAGATGGAGGGTCTGAGGAAGGGGATACTTGTGACATAAGGGATTCACGTGTGTATCCAGGAGGGAGTGGAAGGGATAGAGGGGATGGTGGGAGGGTTAATGTGGGCTGGGTTGGGGTCGGGGGGGATGGGCTGTGTTGGGAGGGGGTAGGAGGATAGGGTGTAGGGGGGATATCGTTAGGAGGGGGATGGATATCAGCAGTTACTTGGAGTGTGGAAGGAGCAGGGGTTGTAGGTTGAGTGTCAGTTTGCATTAAGTAATCTTGAATATTTTCAATAGTTTCTTCTGAGGAGTTGGTTGGGGAGTTGTGGGGGATAAAGGATTTCTTGTGAGGGGGGGAAGAGAGGACTGGTGTTTCAAGAGTAGGGGCAAAGGATGGTGGAGGTGATTGTGTGGTAGGGGAAGAGGGGGTGGAACGTTTGTTCTGTCTGTTACGGGGAGTGCGAGGAGGGAGAGGGGAAGGTGTTGGGGTTGTAGTGGTGATTGGAGTATCTGTATTAGAGATTGGAGTTTCTGGATTTAGGATAGCAAAAGAGTTAGACTGGGGAAGCTAGGAGGTAGAAGTGGGGGGGTTAGATGTAGGAGGGGTGGGTTTAGGAGAAGTGTTAGAATGAGCAGTATTACTGGAGTAAGGAGTAAGAGAGAATCCACGTCGACGTGCTTCCTGTCTGGCTTCACGCAGTGTGAGTCCAAGTTTGAATTTGAGAGTTGCTACCTCAGATTCAAATTTGTAGGTGGGACAGCCCCTATAAAATACATTATGGGGGCCGCCACAGTTGGCACATGTGCGTGATTGTGCAGAGCAGTTAGATCGGGTATGGCCAGGTTGGGCACATAATGGGCATCTGGCTGTGGAACGGCAGTGTTTGGCTGGGTGTCCTAGACGCCAACAATTTTGGCACTGACGTGGAGGAGGTTGGTATGGACGAACAGGGAGGGATTCTCCTCCTATGTAGACGTTAAAGGGAAGGTCATGTCTACGGAAGGTAATTTTGGCTATGTTAGTGGGTTTCTTTCGATGACCTCTGGGGGGGATGGAGTAGCATTGTACTGATGTTGCATCGTAGTCTGTGAGACAGGCAAGTAGATCTTCTCCACAATCTGACCAATCTTTGTCATAGATTGGGCAATTTGCTGGTGAGATTGAGACTGTTCCGGTGCAAGTATTGAGGGTTGGATGGGGTTCTGCTAGGATGGCCATGGGAAGCCTGGATTATGTTGGGGATAAAAACAATCCACCCCTCAGGGTCCCCTTGAGGGGTAAGGGCTAGATAACTAAATCAGGGGAATACCGTGCCCATGGCTCCCTCAGGCCGTTCAGGACTGGCACAAAGTCAGCCTTTCATCCTTTCAGCACGGCTCTCACACCTTAGGAGGTGGATAGCAGAAGGGTTTGGTGAAGGGACAGAAACAAAAGTGGGAAGGGAAAAAAAGACCATGCATAATTAGTTGAGTCGAGGGCTGAGTCCCAAGGTTGGGGAGTTCCCCATCATTGGGTCCCAGTCTCCGCCTCCTAAGCCCCCCCACGACAACAACGGGCAAGGGATTGGGGGGGACTGAATGAATGAGAGAATTGTAAATTACTTAATTGTAAGTGGAGCTTGGGATGGCCATAAAATACTCTCCTGACTTTCTGAGACTCTTTGCACTTTTCCTGCAATTCTAGTGGTGGTGACATTAAAACTGCTTGTTAATGGTTAATAAATGTGCTAAACATCAAGGTCATAAAGCACTTATACTTGTTAGTTATAGAGTAAGAAAAAGATAAAGTTTTTTTCAGCTTTACCACTGCTTTTAACAGGAAGAATCTTAATACCACATTCAAAAACTTCTTATGCCATGTTAGGTAAGAATATGTGTATTTCCCAATGTATCCCCCTTTTGATACACATAACACTGTATTCTTTAGTCATCACGTGGTTCCTTTGAACTCTTTTTTTTTTTCTTCTTTTTCTTTCTTTTTCACCATACTTTCAAAGGCATTTTTTTTTTACCTTCTAGTGAAATCATAGACAGGGATTCAGTAAATAATATGCATATATTTTTTCATCCTTTATTAAAGCTTGCTATCATAGGTTTGGTTGCACATATAAGGCTTACAAATTTCCGTTGCTTTGTTGATTTGTTGCATATCATCTATTCTCCTATTTTGCTTTTTGGAGTTTGAAGCTTGTGTGAGATCTGTACGAGACAATAGATATGGCATAACAAAAAGTGGTTTTCTATTCAGGCTTCCTGTAAAAATGTTTCCTGAAAATACAGTATTCTTTCATTCCTATAGGTTCTAAACATGAAAAGGAGAAAGGAAATAAAAAGGGGAAAGATCAAATAATTTTGTCTTGGTGCTGTTTTTATCATTTGCAATGCTGGATGCTGGACTTTATAGGAAAAAAGTCCCAAAGCTCCGTGACATTTATGAAATTGTGCAACAAAATTTTAGACATTAGAAAAATGCATAAATGAGTATTATTCAATGTTTATGTTACAATGAATGGTTTATTCAATATTCTTTAAAAGAGGGATTTCCCCTAACATAACAAAATACAGAGGAAATTATGTAAACAATATGACAATGGTTTACTTCAGTAATGCAATGCAATATCTGCAATCCTGAGAGAAACACATTTCAAAAGTTAATTACATATAAAGAAAGAAGTAATAAAAAAAATATTAATGATTTTTTTTTACAACAATCCAAATAATATTGACACTTAGAATGTTACTGAAACTGCTAATAATATTAATTATAAACAAAAACAGTTTTTAAACACTGCCAACAGGACTGTTTTATTATTTTTTTTTAGAAAACATGTAATAATTTAAGACATTCACATTGGTTACATGGAAGAAAATAACGAAATATTAATTTAGTTCACACATCAAACACAATAAAATCAGACACAAACACACTTATCGAACGTTATAAAACCAAACGCAAACAAAAACAAAATAAAATACAAAAATAAATAATCTGTGAGTGGATCATAGTTTACTTGTATGATTTTGGAATACTTAAAGCTGAGTGACAAAAAATTAATGTAATATTTAGGGATAAACCATACACAATAAATGTTTTATAATGATTGAAATGAAAAGAAGAAAGAAAACATTAACATAAAAAGGCTAGACTCAAAGAAAAAGAAGAAGAAGAAGAAGAAGAAAGAAGAAGAAAGGCTGTAAAAAAAAAGGCTGTAACTCATAGCAAGTATACTTATGCCTTCAGGTCACCAAATGCAAATCTTCCTCTAACATACAAAGAATCACAAAATAACAAAAGCATTTTCAGGGCAATGTGAAAAAAAAACATACAATTTACAGTTAAAGAAGGGATGAAACTTGGCATTCATTTCTTTATCCAGGGCTGAATCAGAAGCAGGAAAGTCATTATTTGATCAAATGAAGTCTTCTTCAAAATAATTTGCTTGTAGTTTTCTTCATTCTGTGTAGAATGTACACGTAATGAGCCAAAAGCAGAGGATGAGGAGGATGAATGTGCAGATGAAGATGATGATGAAAATGAAAATGTAGATGGGGAAGGAGGAGGAGGAGGAGGAGGAGGAGGAGGAGGAAGAGAAGGAAAAGGAGGGGGAGGAGGAAAAGGAGGAGAAGGAGGAGGAGGAGGAAAAAAAAAAGGAAGAGGAGGAGGAGGAAGAGGAGGAAAAGAAGGATCTTTAATATTGTTTCCTCATCCATTAACAGCTAGCTTTTCAAGCACTACTTCAGTCTATACCGAATAAGTTCCACTATTAAAAGAAACAGAAAGACAACGGTACTCCTTAATAAGAAACAAAATAACAAACAAACAAACCAAAAAGCTGCTGTAAAAATAATAAAAAGTAATTAATCAATCACTTAATACAAAAATAAT